AAGCCGATCCATCATTTTTCGAAAAAAAGTAGCCTTTAGGTAAATGAGTAGTTAAACAAGAGACAGAATTTCGGCTAAAAGCAAACCATTAGACCGGTGCTAATCTGTCTGGAAATAACTGGGAAAAACGACCTTCACAAAACTTACAAGAAGTGGTAGGTATTTTGGTATTGGTTGGTTTGGGACCTTGCCATCCAGAAGCATTTGTCGATAGTTATTGTGCCGTTTCAAGAAATCCTCATCGGTGTACATAGCCGATTGCGTTAACGCACACCACAGTTGAGTGAAAATCACCCAGCCGAGTAGGACTAAGTCGGCCTTATTACATGAAATCATTTTGAGGAATAAAACTTGCGAATGGCTCAAATGACTTCGCCCGAAACAACTCAAGTCTGTTTATTCCATCTGAATTGATCCCACTTATAAACTATTAACGGTGATTATAAAAATAATCCGTGCTCTGTGATTGATGCAGTAATCTTTGTGGTGAGAACCGACTAAAGGAGAAAATCTCCCTTCATTCTTCATATCAAGGACTTTGACAAGAAGTAATCTGCTGAACAAACCAACCCACGGAATTAGTTGTCCAGGTTACAAAAGTGCTCTTAAGGACAACACCACGTGGGCAGTATTGTACTAATTCCTAATTGAGTCGAAATAATCGAAACTGATCGCAACAGTTCGTAGGTCTCTACGTTTTCAATAATGATATTCGGAAGAGTACTTCCTGAACTGTGGGCTAATAGAACTCCAGAAGCCAAAAGGCTTCGAACTATCTGCTTGTTGGTCGGGCTTTGTAAAAATCGCTGAGAACTTCCAAGTTTGTCGGTTGCAATTCTGAAGAAATATTTTTGGAGTAACTAAGGCTCTTAATCTCTTGCTTTCAGCCCAAATGTGTATTTTGCAGAGGGATCACGAATCGCACACTCAAATGAATTTCACCGATATGAAAAGAACTAATTAAGGCATTTTACCATTACAAAGTGTCTCCTACTGACTTCACGCTGAGCTACTGTCTAAGCAGCTTGCTTCAGAATCTTGGGTTCTTTCCCCATCAGACCTCAGCGAAGACGAAGTTACTGGCTTCTCTCAGTGTTGCCGCCTTAACACGGCCGTTTAAAACACATCATTGTGTGGACAAAACACGAATGCCCCACGGGATATGGCATAGTGTGAAATTGGATCCTCAGTTTCTGCTAGTTCCGTAGCCTCACGGGGCGGCCGTACAATAAATGCATAAAGACCGATTACTGGTGTAACGATGATACTACTGTCCAATGGTCTGTAACCGGTCAGTTGGTATTTCCTAATAATTAACTTCCCAGCGAAGGCCTTATTTCTTTCACTGGTAGAGTCCCATTAGCGTTTATATACGTGGCTGAATTCTGAAAAGTGCATTTGAGTATAATCCCACGGGACATAAATAAAAACACATTCAGCGGTATAAGGTCAACACTTGTTGACATCACTTGAATGCATCGTTATGTCATCTATTTTGTAAGGATATGTAGGGGTGTCTAGCTGAATGCACAAATTCATTATAAAATTCGGCGTGTTCCACATGTAGCCTATATTCAAAATGATGCCCGGACAATCTGCTTTCGAACATGATACGATTCACACATGGTCTACAGCGAAAGCAAAGTGTAGACAGACACCAAGATATTGCTGTACAGTATAAGAAATCGGCGTTTATTATTTTTCATCTTCAAATGTGAAAGAAGCTCTTTGTTACTTCATCCACTCTTGATTATTCCAGGTTGTGAAGTGAACTGATGATGATGATTAGTGTTTCTTCCTGATCGCGGAATATCGCGTGCCTCCGCCCATTATATTCACAAGATATCACCTCTCACTTGTTTCTGCAGTGCATGTTTTCTCTACTCACCCACAGAATTCCCATGAACCTTGCAGTATGTAAGAAACGAAACATGTGCTGGTCCAAACTACCAATAGTGTTTTATGGCGATAGACTCACTTTGCACTTAGCTGAGTTCCTAGTTTATGGGTTCTCTAGAGTTGACGGGCCACATGTGTTCGAAAATTCAAAGGCGATAAAACTGCATCATTTGGAAGAAATAACTAAGAGTGATGGCACATAATTCTTATTATTATTTATTATTAAGATTATTATTATTAACATAATAACATAACAACATAATGTCTTAGTATTTATTGATATTTATAGACGTCCTCCAAATGTCCAAATGCGGCGACAATTTGTTGCCAGTTGTTTAAATTTACATTAAGTCCACTGGGATCGCGGAATTTTTATTTAATAGCTGACAATGGCTTCGCGTATCGTGTCCGTAAACACGGTTGGAAACTTTGTGGAAAAGCTGGTTGCTCCATGTGTGTTCTTCCGTATTGGATTTGAAAATAACCTCAAGACTACACGTACAATAATTGTCCTTTCTATGTCCGCAAAACCTCAAAATGGAGCGGCTATTTTCAACCTGCATATGAAAGAAAGCTTCCGTCGTTGTGGCAGGCGTAGCGTTAAACAAAGCCAAGGAAATCATTACAGCTAGCACGTTTTTTCTGGTGGTCAGTACACGCTGCAGGAGAGGCACGGCAAAGGTTAAACTTTAGTTGTATTCCGAACACTTGTTACTGTTGTCGGATGAATTATTGGGCTCGTGAGCAGAACAAGCAGACAATTCAACAGGGCAGCCAGCGCTCTCATTTGGGACGTTCTTGTGGGCTCACATAACGTGCTCGTCCGGGAAATATTAGAGATATGGTGAACTACGGGCAAGGCGTCAGACTTGTATGGCAGGAGCGGTACCGTCATCGCAACGTCATACTTAGGTTGGTGGACAGCCCCGTACATGAAAACCTTGGGTAAATCACTTGGGTTTGTCGTTGTAATTAGGATTTGCAAAACAATCGTGACAAATTAAGTCCTGCACCGACCAAGGATATTCTTGGGGCCGTTGAGGGTACACGGTGGTCCATAGCTGCTATAAGACAGCCCTCTTCGGATTGAGAACCTGGAATAGGAAAGAATTTTACAATAATCTGCCAGGAGGCAACATGATGTGATTTGGATTGCGGCCTCAAATAACAGGCAGCCAGAAGTGATCGCAATTCTCAACTATTGCAGTGAGACCGCATTATTCAGCAATATGTAGCCGATGCACTCTGGTGTGGGCATATGTGAATCTGAGGGTCTTAAACTGGTATGTAACCAAGGTTGCCCGCGCTCTCAGGGCACAAACTGCCATAGGTTGTGGGCACAGTGTGAATGTGGAACTTGGGTTCAGTTATTCAATAATCTCGTTTGGCAGAGCTGGTTGAGATGAGAGGTGTTCATTGCATAATGGAGCATTCTTTAAGCACTGTCAGAGGCTTATCAAAGCGGAACAAAATACAACCGGATAGCTTATCGTTGAATTGCCTTATAATATGTGCAACTGGCGACTGCCTGGAATACTTGCTAAAACCGGGTTACGTCTTGCCTTGACTCATTGTCAGAGAGAATATCAGCATGCTTCGGTCGAGGGCATGATCAGATGATAATTATAAGACGAAGCTGAAGACTGCGAGGTAAACTTTTGAAGTTTTCCTGATTATAGAGCACAAACTGCCATAGGTTGTGGGCACAGTGTGAATGTGGAACTTGGGTTCAGTTATTCAATAATCTCGTTTGGCAGAGCTGGTTGAGATGAGAGGTGTTCATTGCATAATGGAGCATTCTTTAAGCACTGTCAGAGGCTTATCAAAGCGGAACAAAATACAACCGGATAGCTTATCGTTGAATTGCCTTATAATATGTGCAACTGGCGCTTGGTTTTACCGCTTCAACGTATCCCGGTTTTCAAAGCAGTATGTCAGCTGAATGAGAACACTGCGTCAGTCATGGGACCATTACGTTGGTATTTGTTTATTTATTGGATGAATACAAGTAAATAAACCAAAGGTTTACGCCATAAAAGTTTCGAAAACTTTACCAGGGATTTTAAGCACTGAAATCACAAAATAGCCTCACCACTTACGGTATTCAGCAGAACAGGGTTT